AGTTCGGTCTTCTTATGTGTTCATTACAAGTGGTACTATGGACAAGATACCTGGTAATAACTCTCCATAATGTGGTACTGCCTCACAATATGACTGGTACTACGTTTTGTAAATGTTGAGCAGAATTGAAATAATCAATTTTTCTTCAAAAAAGTAGGTACTATTCGATCGAAATCAGGTACCACACAGAATAGGATGAGGTACCATATTTCCCAAAACTGTTACTATTATAAAAAACGCGATTTCTTTAATCCTTCATGTCTACCATGGCATTGGATCGTTTACACGTGATTTGGATGAAAAAAAGTGGAATTGAAAACATATAGATAGAATTTGAAGTAGTCATGTATGATGATTTCTATGAGATGAAGTGTGTCATTCAATGAAATTAAGTCTATTAGTAGTGTTTTCTCATTAGTGTATCGAGTTCATGACCAATTTGCGATTAAACTCAATCCAAAACATTTAAAATCTTATACAAACAAATGTCATAGTGATTATGAGTCGTATAAACACCATTTGCGACTGAAGTTTGGTCTTCTTATGTGTTCATTACAAGTGGTACTATGGACAAGATATCTGGTACTAACTCTCCATAATGTGGTACTGCCTCACACCACAACTGGTACTACGTTTTGTAAATGTTGAGCAGAATTGAAATAATCAATTTTTCTTCAAAAAAGTAGGTACTATTCGATCGAAATTAGGTACCACGCAGAATAAATTGCGGTACCATATTTCCCAAAACTGGTACTATTATAAAAAATGTGATTTCTTTAATCCTTCATGTCTACCATGACACGTGGATCGTTCACGCGTGATTTGGATGAAAAAAGTAGAATTGAAAAAATATAGATAGAATTTGAAGTAGTCATTTATGATGATTTCTATGAGATGAAGTGTGTCATTCAATGAAATGAAGTCTATTAGTAGTGTTTTCTCATTAGCGAATCGAGTTCATGACCAATTTGGGATTAAACTCAACCATAAAAATTTAAAATCTTATATAAACTAATGCCAGAGTGATTATGACTCGTATAGACATCATATTCGACCGAAATTCGGTCTTCTTATGTGTTCATTACAAGTGGTACTATGGACAGGATATCTGGTACTAACTCTCCATAATGTGGTATTGCCTCACACTATGACTGGTACTACGTTTTGTAAATGTTGAGCAGAATTGAAATAA